TCCTTAAAATGGATAAATAAGATGTATAGTTTACCCTTTACACAATTAATTGTCCAATATTTCTCCCAATTTCCTCCTAAATTATGACCATTCATTGTTTCATCTTATAGTTAGAAGTGAGCTGATGAGATTGTCTCCTCTCCTCCTAAGAGGAGAATAGTCCTATATGAGGAAATATTAGTGAAATCAAAACTTAGAGGATGTTGATTGTAGCATTAGTATATAAACATACATGTTTATATACATGAACTTGTATGGTTGGAGAGCTTAACTGGTTGCATATGGTATAGAAAGGGATCTTATTTGATACTTGTAACATATTCGCCCCCTGCAAAAGATAAACTTTCATTAACTAGGTTTAACAAAAGAGTTTCCCTGTCTAAAACTCTCAACCGCGTTATCGTTTCCATTTCTCTCTCCTTTTCTTTAATTTTTCTCAACATTAAAAAACCTTCACCCCTGGATCAACCAACGGGTATTTTGTTTCTTTTGTCACATTAGTTCTTCACTCTCAAAATCTTTTTTAACCCCAATAAGGTCTCATCTTTTCAAAAAGGCCTTTTGTAATGAATATTAATTATAGAGTCAATGCAATATTTTGCTTGATAATAATTTGGCTTTACTTCGTGGTATTAATTTTGACTCACTTCGGTTGTCAAAAAGATTCCAAGGCATCCAAGAATAGGCTAAAGGTGAAGAGGGTGCTCTTTTGAGGAGAAAGGTTATGTGATGGAAGCGGAATAAACTGTGATGGAGGTTACTCATTCTACGTATCATGCACATACTAAAAAGATGCATAAACAGTGGAGGTCTTACAAGTTAGCTTATATAGGATTGTTAGCATATGTTGTGTTTGTTGTGGTTTGTGGAGTGTGATAATGGTAGTATGCATTTCCTAGTTGCATATTACTTTTATCATCTTTTTATCATAGTTACATTTTATTATCGCTTTTCTTTACTCAAATTTTATAATCATATCAGTACATATAGATTTTTCTGTACTAGAATATTGAGGATGTCAATTGTAGATCGCGAAAAATTAGTTTAGTATTAGAATATCAAGTCTAGGTTTAATAAAATGATTTTCAAAGTATGCGCCTTTAAAACCTTCACCGTCCATGCACCTTTTCAATATGTGCTGTGACACAGAATAGCAACATCCATCACAATTTATTCAGTTTTATCACATAACTTTTCTCCTCCAATGATCACTGTCTTCTCGTTAAGTTGATACTTGGAGGCACTGAAATCTTCTAGACAGCTGAAATGAGTTATGATTAGCACCATTAAGTAAGACTAAATTTTTATCAAGCAAAATATTGTCTCGCCTCCAAATTTAATTTCCATTACAAAAGATCTTTTTGGAAAATATGAGACCTTGTTGGGGTTAAAAGAGGGAAGGCCTTGTGCTGAAAGATTTTGAGAGCAAAAAACTAATAGGACAGAGGAAACGAGATATCCGTTGACTGATCCAATGGAGAAGATTTTTTTAATGGACATTGGGGAAAATTAAAGAATGGGGGAAGGAAACGAAAACAATAAGGCAATTGATAGTTTTAGATAGGGAAAACTATTTTGTTGCATCTAGCCATTGAAGATGATGACTATTTGTCCTTTGCAGGGGCTAATATGTCACAAGTACTATGTAAACCTATTGAGACTTTGACAAACGATGTTTATTTACACTAATATTTTCAAAAAGGACCCTTCCTATGCCACATGTAGCTACATATTTATGTTGTCCAGCTATGCAAACAGCAACTTTAAACACGTGCACGTGTGTTGCACATGGTTGTACTTGTTTTATGTTTTGAATATTTTTCGTAGGCTATAGATGAGAAAGTGGCTCGTGTGAAAAAAAAAAGATCTAAAGTAAAGCATTGAAAGAAGATTTTGAATGTTCACAAATAAATTTGATCTACACTGTTCATTATGATGTATATGTTTTAAAATTCATGGAGATAAAAAATTACATAGGTTTAGTGTTTATGGCCTATATATCTATGACCTAGAAATTAACAGTCTATAACGGTCTTGGATATCATTCTTTTATACTCAGTCCAGAATCGAACCAAAAATTGTGGAAGGTATATTGAAACCCCCACTCGTTTAGCTCACCACACAGTGTGGTGATATCTGTTATTTTGAATTACTTAAATTATAGGATAAAAATTCCAAATTATGTCATTTTTGATCCATTTGGATCTCATGACATGCAGATAGCAACAAATTGTTTGGATTAACAATATAGAGGGGAGAAGTGTATCTTAAAATGTGTGTAACTAAGTTATGTCATGTGTGCACTCTTACCTTATATATACATATGTAGGGTTTAATGGTTATAATGTGACAACTCATTTAGTAAAATGAACTATCAAGAGATCAAAGTATGAGACCCACACCCTAAGAATGTGACTCGTAGGGTGGGCCTCATCACATGGATATCTCTTGGTAGTTTATCTAGCAAAATAACTTGCTACCTCATTCCCATTATATATTTATTGGTGCTTGCATTTATGGGCATGGATGGCTTGTTATAACAGGATATGGATACTGCCTTTATACCAATTTTAGAAGCTAGTGTATAATGTAACATATTTCATACACATGACCTTGTGTGCATCAGTTGTCTTATGTTCTCACAAAAAGTACAAACCATAAAATCATAAATATCAGACGAGTTACCATGAATAAGTTGGAAGTTAGGGAACTATTAGCTACAATTAATATTTGATTTGAATAAAGGTAAAGTATGGTAAAAATGATTAGAAAATTATTATGAATAATAGATCTCATCTGTCAAGTATTATTTAAACTTATTCTTTAATCGACACGGAGCTAGCTGCCTGAAAGCCTCAAATGCAGATTGATAGGAAGATCAACCTTCATCATGACGGTTTGATTTGAAGTGTAGTAATGACTTTCAAATGTTTTGATAGCGGACCCCAACTATCCATTGTTTGATTCATTTTAACTCAAGCAACCCATTTCTTACTACGAACATGATTGTAGAATCTACATGAAGTACATGCAGACTACCTATGCATGGACCTGCACACAGCGACGGAGTCAGGTAAGGCCCAATGGTCCCCCCTCCTCCCCTCCCCCTGCGCGGGGATGGGGGTGGGGGAAATTTGAAGAATTGTTGTGACCGGGGGTATGTAACATATATAAAAAAGTATAGGGAGGCAATTGTAAGTTTATCTATATCCTTTCCTACTTGTGGCTTCCTCAATTCCTATCCTCACCATCTCCGATTCTGTGAGAAAAACAAAAATACCAATTCATCAAGAAATTTGATATCGAAAAGCACCCTTCGCTATAAGCAGGGGAAAAAACAAAATACCAAAGCCTTGAAGCTTCAAATCATCTTTGCCTTGTATCTCTACTTTCAACTTTCATCCTCACAAAAAAAAAGATTGCTTAGTGCCTTGCACTAAAAGAAATCTATTTCATTGCATTCGTTGCATTGATGAGGAATATGTCATGACACAATTTTAAGAAATGAAGGCAAAAAGTATGTTATTGTAATTACTACATTCTAATTTAAATTTTGATTTAAAAGTCGTGCTATATAATGATGATTATATACTGTCAATCCCACAAAAAACTATATGTACGTATCTAATTATTAGTTTCTTTGATCTTTTTGGACCCTTCACCAAAATTCCTGGCTCCGCCCCTATGCACAAACATACGCACATGCACCACCATGCACCCACAATCATACAAAGAATAGAGATTCGAAGATGGAAATGCAACCAGCTTCTAAGATGACCATAAATATGCTTGAAAGGCAACTAGCAGGCTAAAATACCAGATTAGTCCTAAAACACAAAAAAGTATTCGTTCATATCTAATTATTAGTTTCTTCGGTTTTTTCGGATCCCATACCAAAATTCCAGGCTCCACCACTATACACAAACATACACACGTGCACCACCCACAATCATTCAAGGAATAGAGATTAGAAGATGGAAATGCAACTAGCTTCTAATATCATCATAAATATATTTGAAACGCAACTAGCAAGCTAAAATACCAGATTAGCCCTAAAAGTGGCTCATTTACCACTTTGGCCTAAAACGTAACTTCGGCAACATTTTGACCTAACAAGTGACAAATCGAGTGACACATAGGCCTCTCTGATCGCTAGAGGCAATTCTTAATTTTTAACAAAAATATTAAAGGAATTTTGTATATGGATCCCTCAATCTCCCATATTTCCCGAATTAACCCCTCTTTCTCCTTTCCAAATTTTGAAATTTGTAAAATAACCCCTCCCTTTCCACTATATTGTCTTACTTTATCTTTTCCACCATCTCTTCCATTCTCTTCTCCAAATCTCTAGCCTCCCCTCTCTCTCACCCCCTCTCCCTTTTCCTCTCTCCCACTTACTCTCCTTCCTTATTTTGCCCACTTCTAATCCCCAACATCAAACATTCTACCACAAACTTAACCTCATTCTTCGTGGGAAGGGAGGGTGAGAGTTCTTTTATAAAATGTTAAACTTGAGGGGGTAAATCTGAAAATATGACAGCTTTGAGGGATATATATGAAAAAATCTTGTAATATTTTTGCGTTAAAATTCCCTCCGGCGATCGGAAAGGCTTATGTGTCACCGATTTGCCACTTCTTAGGTCGTGTCATCGGCATTGCTTTTAAGGCCAAGTGGTAAGAGAGAGTCACATTTAAGGTCAATTTGGTAATTTAGCCGGCAACTAGCATGTACACACACATCTATGCAGCGCACTGATGTTTCCTAAAAAGTTAAGCCTCATTGCAATCCATGGCAACTAGCATGCACGCACACGTCCATGCAGCACAATGATGTTTCCTAAAAAGTTAAGCCTCATTGCAATCCATCTCCCCTGCATGCAAAATTGTGAATGCATCAGAGGATTTTCCCTAATATCTTGTCTTTAGAGATGGAGATAGGCATGTTTATGTGTTTTTTTTCCCCTGATTGATTTTTATTTTATCTTTTGCCCCCTAAACAGAAATTGTTGGGGGCTAAACTTGGTGGTGCAAATCTACTGGGAGCCATTAGATGATTGGTCTCCATACTTCCAACAATATGCTGCCAGAGAGCACGAAATCGAAGATTGGATCTTCTTACGCCCTCCATTGTGCATCTGTACATCCTCTGAGGTTCTCTACTGTAATGTACCTACATGGGCAGCTTACTACTACCCGTCATAAGCTGCATTGTGACTGAAAGACTGTATTTGATGTTGCATGTTGTGAAAATTTTAGTCCACCATTTGGGGAACTTTTTCGGTGACTCCTTGATAATGTGTTTAAAGAATTGGCATGTGAAGTCTTCACTTCTCTTGTCTGTGGCTACCATGGGACGTGCCAAATTGAAGAACTTATGCTAACGAAAGGAGAACTTGTGCTAATGAAAGGAAACTGACCGTCCCCGCATCCGTCTTTTTTTTTCATAGTCTTCCGAGCCACATCTTTGATGAAGATGCATTTATAAATTTGGTCTAGAAGAGAACTTTGATCAGCTGAAGTGTTTATTGCTTATTAAGGAAAAGGCCGTTAAAGTTTAGCAATTCACTCAGCATAATATTACTATGAATAAAGAAGGAAGAACAAGCGGTGCATATTTGCAGTCTTACATGTTCTCAATCCGTTGTCTAATTTAACCATCTGAATGCAAAATCAAGATAAAAATACTGACAAAGATCAAAATAACTATAAAATTTGAGTAAAGACGACTATCGAATTTGAGTAAACAAAAAGCAATTATAAAGCATGACTCTTGACATATAAAATTAGATGTTCCCGTGGATAGGAGAAAACTTTGGTAATATGCGATGATGTAGAAATGTTTAGATGCAGCCGAACAACAACAAAAAAAAAAAAAAAAAGCAAAACCAGCACCGAATTTGAAATCTTTACCTATCATACACAAATAACAGCTTCCTCAAATTTTACATGAATTTATCTCCTGCAAATCTCCACCATGCTTTCAGGTCTCTGCCCCGTTATAAATGTGTGACAAAAGCAACATTCTTCGTGTCCAGGTTGACGGCAGAATGAATGATATCATCTGCAAAGCACATTGTTTCCCAATTTGAAATCTTCAGTATAAGCACAACTTTTACGCTCAGGATGATGGCAGACAGAAAGATACCATCCGCAAAGCACATCGATCCCAACTTGAAATCTTCAGTAGAAGCAGAACTTATAAGGAACGTATGCGGTGGCAGAAATAGTTAAAAAAAAATGAGGGGGGGGGGGGGGGGGGGGTAACATACATTACAACAGGATTAGCTCTTTTATTGGCAACCAACTTCGAGTTCATTGGAGAATATACTTGTACAAATTCTAGTGCTTTTCTCCTATATAGAACGAACTAAAGATAAAGCTTATAGAAATAACTTCCAAAAAAAGAAGAAAAATGTACCCTAAAGAAGAGAACGCTCCAGTAAAATATACATTTGAATAGATACAGCTGATCAGCATTTGCTGACCGAAATTTAACTTGCAGATTAAATAACCTCGAAGAAATATGATACCTAACTGGCCTAGTATAGAATGCCAAGTCGTAAAAATCATAAGGATATTTCTTTGCTTCCACCCTTAACATAGCATCAAGAAATATGAAAAATATGATACAACATATAGAAGCTTATCATTTGCTCCTCTGCCGCTTTGGTCGCCTCTTGTTGAGAAGCTTCAGCATGTTATCAGTAATATCTATCGGGTTATCATCCTCATCATCCTGAGGACTCTTATCAGAAGTCTGTGTCAGCCATCCTAAAGCTTCAATAGCTGCATCCCTCTCAGCCAGTTGCTTGCTCTTCTTTGGTTTTCCAACAAATTGCATCCCTTTGAACTCCGCTAGAGCTCTGAACTCGTTGGTCTTTAGATGCTTCGTCTTGTACTTTGGTGGACTGTGACCCGCTCTCATGAGTAAGGTCTGAAGCAAACTCTTTGGATTCATTCCATCCTTTATAATTCTGCTCTTGTTGTCAGTGTTGCCGCTGGTGAGCCTGGCTCTTTTGGTTTCACGGCCAAATACAAATCTTCCTTCGCATAAGTCAGCAGTGACCAACTCTTGAATTGCAAGCATTAGGTATTTGCCTTCCTTGTGAATGTCTGTGTTGGGGTCTTGAAGCTGCAGTGTCACATGCTTCGTTAGCCAGAATGTCAGTTGAAATGATTTCAGGCAGCATGGTAGTTAGCAAATTGGAATTAATGCATGACATTCTTAATTATGTGAAAATAAGAGAACCGATTGAGAATGTTTAGTCACATACATGCCAATAAATGCACCAATTAGATGAATTAATAAGATTATAGTTAATGAAGCAAAGAGGGTTAGAGATTGACCTAAAAGGACTTTGTTAGAAACAATTAAGAAGGATATGATAATAGTTAACTTAATGGAGAAGATGAAATGAAAGGAATATTGGGATTCATGTAGCCTACCCAAAAAATTTGAGATTATGGCATTGTTCTTGTTGTTGATGATGATGATGTTGTTGTTGTTCTATACGTTGTCGTAATTGTTCTTGTTCTTAATTAATTGAAAAAGGGTTAATTGCAAATAGACCCCTTGCTGTATCACCTAATCATGAATAGACC